ATCTTTAAATGCCAGGATATGACTGCTGAATCAAGAGTTTCTGGCTTAAGAGGAACAAGTTATCCACTTTTCAGGGTTGTCTGCTGTGGGACAGCAGAGTTGTCATTCCTACCTCAATGAGGTCTAGGGTCTTAGGCTCCCTTCATGAGGGTCATCCTGGCATTGTATGAATGATGGCGCTTGCGCGCAGCCATTTGTGGTGACCTGGGTTAGACAAGGAAATTGAGGCTAAGGTGCATGCATGCCATCTTTGTCAGCGTTCTCACCCAGAAATACCCCAGGCTCCTGTGCATAGATGGGAGGAAACACAGTCTCCATGGTCTAGGGTGCACATCAATTATGCTGGGCCCTTTCAGGGTCAATTCTTCTTGGTCCTGGTTGATAGCTATTCAAAGTGGCTTGAGGTTGTACCTGTCTCTTCAACCACCGCTGCCAAGACCATTCAAGTACTGAGGGGGATTTTTGCTGCACATGGGCTTCCGGATGTTTTGGTGTCTGACAATGGCCCTCAATTCACTTCTTCCGAATTCCAAGCTTTCTTACAGGCCAACATGATTCATCATGCCACCTCTGCGCCTTTCCACTCTTCCACCAACGGTATGGCTGAACGGATGATCCGCATCACCAAGGATACTTTAAATAAACTGACCTATGGGGACTGGCACCACAGGTTGGCTGATTTTCTTCTTGCTTACCGCACCACACCTTCAACTTCTATGGGGAGAAGCCCAGCTGAACTTCGCTGGGGGCGCAAACTGACTACTAAACTTGACTGGTTGCATCTGGACAGACTGCCTCCTAAGTTTACACAACCCAGGGCACCGAGGCAATTGCTAGTGGGTGCCCCGGTATGGACCCGTAACTACGGGCCAGGTCACTTGTGGGTTCCTGCTGTAGTATGCAAGGTTACAGGTCCTTTGTCATACGAGGTCTCCTTGGATGACGGTCGTATCCTGCGACGGCATATCGACCAGCTGCGTACAAGACTGGACTTACCTTCAGAGACTCCTGGTTCTTTTCCAGGGGGGAAGGCGGACCTCTACGGGCAAAGGGAGGGGTGTTGGCAGCAGCCAGGCACCAACAGAAAGGCCACAGATGGCTTATCACAAGATTCCGCAAGTGTTCCAAACAGGAATTCGTGGGAACCAGCTAGCACACAGGCACCAGTGCCTACTCCAGCCAGGGAGTCACCCCAGGGGCATAATCATTATCCACTAACACCATTCAGCACTCCAGTCAGGGAGAATAACCGGGAGCATCCTAATAACTCACACATTGCAAGAGAGCTGGCACACAATCAGTCTACTTGGCCCAGCACTGCTACTGCATCCAGAAGGAGGCATTCACACAGGGACATGGTCGGAGGGGCAAATCCCAATTCTGACATCTCCGGCATAGTTGAGGGGGCAACTGAGTTTTGGGGCAGTACTGAAACCCCAGACAGTCCTACTATGGAACTGGGGAGTGGTGGAAGGCAGCCTCACGATAGGTCCAGTATGGGCCAGGGAGGCTCTACAGAGTTGCCCAACAGTGGCAGTCTTCTAGAGGGGCCAGAGAGCCTGCAACTAGGCAGGACAACCAGGTTATGGAGAGAACAAAGTCCTGGCCTGACGAGCCCGGTGGGCAAGCAAGTAGACCAGGCAATGGGGCACGGTCCATGGGGACCATCAGGATCCGAGAAAGGGGGCGAATCCATATCATCCCCTGGGCAAAATGTAATTGGAGATTATCAGGGCCTAAGGAGATCACAGAGAGTTAAGAGATCTCCTAGGTACCTTGAAGATTTTGTAACTCTGCTGGCAAAGCAGAAACAGTAAGAGGGTGTTTCTGTGGAAAATTGGAAATATGGGCACTGGGGAGTTAATCTCCAGAACAATAGCCGGCACCATTGGAGCAAGGGGTGGCACACCACGCTCGTGTTGAGGTCGCGTGTAACTATTCATGTAGTTGTAGTCTTAGCTGGGGGGGAAGGGGTGTTGTGTCCTGAGCCTGCAAAGGCAGGCTCAGGACGTTGCAACAATCCCAGGCAGTTGCAAGCTGTCCGGGACCAGACTGGCTGGCGCCGGCACTTGCACACATGTGCGAGGCGCGCAGCGCACCTAAATGTTGCCGTTTGGCCCGGGGATTGTCTTTAAGAGTGACTGAGAGGCTTGTGTGCCTCGGCATTGTAACGGGGCTACAGAACAACAATAAAGAGGCTCCTGAAACTACGAGATGCTTCGTGAGTTATTGCCATTAGCTGAGGACTCAACACATACCATCTTTATAACGGCTCAGGCTCATCGGGTGGCATCTGATGGCCCATGCTTCTTTCAGACAAAGACATTGCAATCTGGCTTGTGTCCAGGAAGTCTCCCAATGCCCTTTAGAGACTCCTCCCACTGACCCATTAACAAATCAGCATTTAACCCAATAACTGCCAGATATTCTAATATACTGATACATGCTCTCTAGTTAGGGTTACATAGAGCTATATGAGGCTACATAGAGCTATATGATTCAGAACAGTGTGGCTTCTTATTGATTGATTGGGATGTTGATGGCAGGCTATTAAGTCATTGGCTGTTGTTTCCTTATGCTGTCAAGTCATTGGCTCCTAAGTACCTGACACACTGGTGGTAAATCGGCACTCTTGTTGATTGACAAGAGGGATGTTTCCAAGGCTTCAATAATTGCCCTGGCTATTTTTGTATCTGCTCAGTCAATGATCTTAATTACTTTACCTAGTTGGTAGTTAGTTTACTAGTTGGTAGTTACACCTAGTTTTGGAATGGGAACCTCTACAAATAGTCACTTATGACTTAGTCATCTTTATTGGACTATTGCATTGTCCGGTGAAGAATATTTGGCAACCACATTTGTTCCAGAATTCAGTGGCCTGAGAAGTTATGGGTGCTTCCCAATTCATCTGGATAACACCACCATATTGAGAGCTGTGCTGATTGTCAGTTGCCTGCATCTGACCCCCCCCCCATTTTTACCACTAGCTATTTTATAAGGACTTCAGAACTGAAATGATATGAACTGTTTCCCCTAGAAATGGAAGTTTTTCCTTGCTTGATGACGGCTGTTGAATGATTCCTTGTATTATATATTGGTATACATTATTATTTATTTTACTTTAATGTGCATTATGTTTTTAGCTGCATTTGTGATGTTTCAAACGTATGTCAGTTCAGATCAGCTTCAACTGGAGTAGTATATAAGTCCAGTGAAATACCTAACAACAGCTGATCTACAGCAGCTTCTACTGAGTGATCTACCAGCATCACCTCTATGCTGTAGCCAGGAAGAATGAATCCTTTGCTCCCCTCCAGTGGTTATTAGGTTGATCAATTGATCATCATTTTGACAAATATACCCCAAATTTTATTGAGAGCTGCTGTTTGAAACAGATAATGGCAGGAATATGATCTTTTGAAAGTGTGTTCACACCTCACTCTTATGGTTACTGAACCATGGCTTACTGAATTAATCAAATTGCCTGAGTTTGCATAATACACTGAACCATAAAATAACCACACCGGCTGAGCTTGCACAATTCATTGAACCACAAAACTAGACAGCTTCTTTCAGCTGAATGTGTGTAAACCCAGCCACATTACAAAGACAGTTCACCAGGAACTTGGGTTGGTGAGCAAAACTTTTTAGTAAAAGTTTTCACTAAACGTTAAGTTTTTAAAATTGCAAAGGAGATTGTGTGTACAAAACACATAATATTGTGAAGTGTGGAGAAGTAATTACATCGTAATTAAGTCTCTCTGTATTTTGGGGGCAAAAGCTCATTATCCTCCCCCCTTCCAGAAAAACTTTTGGAAAGTCAATGTCATCCAGGCTAACCTTTTATGGAAAAACTGTCAAGATGTTTATGTAAAATGTAATACACAAAAAGGCCAGTAGGTTGTTTTTTGTTTGAAAACAAATGGATTCAGGCGCTATACTGCAACATTTTCAAACACTTTAATCAGGATTTCATTTATGTTCCCAAGGTTTTGATCTCTTTTCAGCTGCTCTCCCATCCATCGCTGCGTTGTCCAGTATTCCAAGCATTAAAACTCTTGCACCTATTCTTAACTTGAAATCTTCGCTACAGTTTGGAATTTCCCGTTCTTTTCTTTCTGGGAGCCAAGCTGGCTCTGCAACAGAGCGGAGCCCGCCTACGCTGCTCTGCTACAAGGAAGCGCGTCCGAACTCCGAGCCGCGTTACTTGGCGCTACAAGGTCAACCACCGTTAGCCAGCAGAGGGATGCGGCTCCATCCTGGGCAGGTTTTACTTAGAAGTCCGGATGAGTTCAATGAATCTTAATCCCTCGTAACGGGAACTATCGCGCACTTCCCATTAGATTGCTAGTTTGTAGCCAGCGAAGCTAGAAAGGACGCCGAGCCGCGGAGATGCTTAGCTTCTTTCGTGGACTCGCTGGTGTCTCTTTCCCCCCTCCCAATCTCCACCGTTTGCTGCGTGGAGCTCCCGCTGCCTTTTCGGTTATATAGATCTATCTCTAGATTCAAAGGAGGACTCTGCCTTTGACTGGGAAATAAGAGCGACGACCAGCTAAGGAAGAAAAGCACCCCAGTTCCTCATCATTCCTGTCCATCCCTGATTCCGCAGCCGTCCTTGCGGGCCAGGCATCCTGCTTTATCCCCATTCTCCAGCTTGCGGCCGTTTATTCTCCTTGTCATGCAAAAGGCAGGCAGGCTGGCTGGCTGTACTGCAAAGACATCCCCTGGAAATTTGCATGTACCAGAACTCAGCTACCGCGCCATCTAGCCCTCCCAAACCTCGGCGCACAGCATCGAGCCCAGCCCGCTTATATAGTTCTCTAAAAATAGCTCCCCTTACACTGCCTTATAAGGCGGCAGTCGGATGAAACCCTCCTCCAATCCCTCCGGCTCTTCCGTGCTCTGGCCCGTCCCCTCTTCCTCCAGGAAGGCCTCGATTGGGCCTCAGTGACTTCATGAGCGGCCCTCTCTTCCCTCCCCCTGTTTACCTTACATGGTCACGCGCTGCCTTAATGGACGGTTTCCTCTGAAGAGCCCATGACTGCGCGGAGAAGGACGGGGAGGGGGGGGAGAGAGTGGGGAGCGCGCCCGGGAAGCGCGCACAAGGGAGAAAATGCAATCCCCCCCCAATAAAGAGCAAAGATTGCATTCAGCAGCGAGCAGCAATGCAGAAATAGATGGCAGTCTCGTGTCAGTGAGTTTGCATTCCCCCCCTTCTCTGGTCCAAGCGCTGGAGTCAGCAACAGAGCCCTTGAAGGCAATTGCTTTTTACTACAAGTGGAGAAGTTCCCCCTCTTGGTTGCCTGGCTGACGGCTCGCCTCGTACATGTTTGGGAGCATTTTTCCTTTCTTATCGGGTTGTTGATGGGGCTCTTTTCCTTTTTTTTTTCTTCTTCCTTCCTTTACTCTTGTTCTTGCCTTGATTTTTCCCCCCCTATCTTTGAAAGTGTGACTTCAAATATTCTCTTGTTTCTCTCAAACAAAAGCAAAACGAGAGAAAAAGGACCTCTGGATTGATTACGCCTAAGAGTCTTTCCCCCCCTCCTTTTTAATGAACAGAACTAAAACCCCGTCACGAAATTTCAAACACAAATCTAAAAGGAAAAGGTTGTGGTTTGTTTTTTTGCTCAGAAGCAGCAGCAGCAGCAACAACAACATGGATGTGTTGGCTAGTTATAGTATATTCCAGGAACTGCAGCTTGTCCACGACACCGGGTACTTCTCAGCTTTGCCATCCTTGGAGGAGAACTGGCAGCAGGTGAACCATTTACCTTACTCCTGTACATCTCTCTTTTGCTTTTATTTCTCATTTTCTCTCGCCTTGGTTTCCCCCCCTTCTTGTAAAGTAAGCTGCACTGTTACAGTTTCATTAACAAAGCGATGTAGTTGGAAGCTGCTTGCGTTAAATCCGAGATCAAAATAATAGTAATAAATTAGGGAACATCCTGAGGACTGGTGGAAATTATTTGGAGGTCTTTTAGTATTATGTTTTGAGTTCCTTTTAGAAAGGAATAAAGTGTTGCCCTCCCCCCCTTTTCTTTGTGAATAAGGAGGGATCACTTTTAACTGGTGTTGACAACTGACAACTGATAGAAATGGAATAATGTATATTCCTCTTTTAAAAGTAATTGGTGCATAAGTATAAGCCAGTTTTTACTAAAAGTAGTCTGCAGGAACGTGCTGTATTAACAGTCTGTTTCCACTTATTAATTTTTATTTATTTTTAAAAACTTGCACGAGCGATACTGGTTTAGAACAATGCCATTCAAGCTTATTTCTGCACATCCAACAGAGAGAACTTAGACGCTAGAAGAGTTAAGAAAAATTACCAAAATCGGAAAATTGGGTAATGAGGTTAAAACTGCGCTGGTAGACAATACTGTCAAGAGAGATGGGAATCTAGAGAGAATCAGAGACTTTCATCAAATCCCTGATTAGCCCAACTATCCAGATGAGGAGAGGGAATGCTTAGCAGTCTAACTATCAGCTGGCAAGATGAAATGTAGCTGGAGAGGACAGCCCTTCCAAGAGACCCCTTGTTAGGGCAAGATGACACCTAAGATGGTAGTATGAGTTTTATGGCTGGGTTTGATTAATGATTTGTTGGTATATTCTGAAAACTCCTTTCGTTAGAGAGAAAGTGAGAGGCAGATGAACTCTGGCCTGTGGAGTTAACAAGACCAGGAACGTGCACCATGTGGTAGTCATGTAACTTCCATGCCTATGACTGATATAGGGTGAACAAGCTAATGACTTGCTGTATTTTATTCTCTTGTAGTCCAAACATTATTGATTAGCTCAGTTCTAGAAGGGGGCATTGGATTTTACTGCTCTGGAATGGCTAAACAACTCTCACTAAAATTCAATGTATAATATTTAGCTCCATATTTCTTTTTGAATGTGTGTTTTTTAAAAGAAAAATACATGGTGGAAGCACTTCAGGTCCTCTTGGTTGTGAAAGGCAGAAGCCTGTGTTTGGCTTGCTTGTTACACACATGGTTAATGAGTCACATATGATTTTCTTTATGGTTCTCCTTTCGGCAGCTGATCCAGTTGGAGTGGCAAATAATTATTGCCTTAACAATTCTTCCAGTTGCTTCCCAACAGTGGTCTTGCTTGTGCATCAGTTGCATATTAATAACAGTCTAGACCGTTCTAGGCAAGATAATCTGTTGGCACATTCAGCAACCTAACACTGATATTGTCTGCTATATTTTGGGAGATTATTCTACTATAGAAAAAGGAAACTGCCTGCTTTTTTCAATAAAAAAGCATTCTGCTCGGAAATCAAAATGGAAAGGATTTTTTAAAATACCAATTTTAGGTTTTGCAGGCATTTTTTTGTTAAATCTTGGTTGCCATGTGAACAAGTCACATTCAAGAAACTTGACATTTATGTAGTCTGTGTGTAGAGCCCTCTGTTCACATGTCCCTATTTTTTTTAAAAATAGTTCCTGTAAGATAGCCAGTTTTATCTTCCTATTGTGTGTGCTGGGGGAGGAGCTGAACAGTAACATCGTGCCCTTAAAGCCTCCTGGTGAAGTGGCTGAAACTTAAATTGTTTTAATTAATATTCTTGTATAATTGTAGGCCCCCTTGCGTTGTTAAGGCTACTGCTTTAAGATGGCTTATAAATCTTAAAAGCCAATGAATAAAAATTATCACCAATATACCGAATGTATACACGTCTCCTCAGAAGAAATTCCAATTGCATCCCATCCCATAGAGCCTTGTTCCAAGTCTAAGAAGGGTACACACCTCAATCAAACTCTACTTATATGGGACAAGGAAGAGGGTGAATGGAAAGTGTCCTGAAACAATGAGCATGAATTCACTTACACTAAATTAACTTTTTAAAGGATATGTTTTGCTTTCTCAGTCTACTCCAGACATTGTGATTTCTGGAAATACATCTGTAATTATAAAGACAATTGAGTTTTCAATATTATAATTTCTTTGAGGAAGTACTATCATAGAATCAATATTTGCTTCTAAAAATGAGTTTGCTGACTTTGGGAAGCAGCAGAATAGCCCCAGGAATCTTAGATCCCCACTCATTTTTTTTTAAAAAAATATGTGCTCCATTTTATTGAAATGCCATCTAGCAAAACATCTGGGAGACATTGCAAATGAAAGAAGAGCAAGAAGGCTCAATGTGCAAATTTCCCTTCCCCTTTGTCCGATCACAGCAACATTTGAGAAATCTGCTCCAGAGGCTGAGTAAGTAGCATTGGCAATGGATTCCAGATACATTTTGTTCAAAGCATAATTCTTTCTCATTTCCACATCCCCCGTTCTGTCTGCTTCTTCTCTGAATTCCTAAACAAGGTAAAGATACAGCTCTGTTGAACAGACCACTTACATTGATGACTTCAGCAATTTGGAACTTCTTGCTCAGATGAAATCCTTAAGACAAAATAGCATAATATTCTTTATCGCAAGAACGATCTACCAGGAAACCCATGTTTATACAGATGTTATACAATAACTGATATTACTCATATGATGAGATGCCCTGAGACTCATTATGAAAGCACTGATGGCGTACTCTTCGACCAAGTTGGGCATTTTAGTTAATGGGATAAAGTTACTTGCTTAAACATCTCCCACTGAATTTAGTGGGATTTCATGGTCCTTCACTTCCATGGGTAATATTATGTGGAAATAGGTCTCATTGCTTTCAATGGAAGATTTTTTTTGATGTCCCTTCATGTATTTTGGTGTGAGTGACAGCTGTAGAAAACTAATATAGTAAGATGGTATTGCTTTAGTAGCCTTCCTTCCTGCCTTTATCTTAGTCTATAGTTTTGTGACTGGTGAATTCAGAACAGGAAAAGTTGCATGTAGTTGGCAAGTGTCATAAACAGAAAACCTACTGTACTGACTGCAGCCTTAACTCATGTCAGTTGCTAAATAAACACTTGCTGCCATTCGTTCTCCTTGTTGTCCTCCTCCTTGCCTGATGTTATAGGAAGAGGAAGTTGTTAAGTCCTTCTGAGAATTAGCTGCATGGAAAGTTACAAGGAAGTTCCTACACAGCTCAGAGTTTTTGGAGAAAAGACCATGTTGCTCTTAGGTCAAAGAAATATGGCAAGTACCATTGTAGCATGTCTGCATCCTTTCTTTTCTGTGTTAATAGGTATATGGCTAGAAATGCTTGGTTAGAAACATTAGAGGCTCCTAGAAATGGAGCTACACGGTTAGAAATCCTTTTGGAGCAAAGCATTCTTAGCATTAAAGTGGGCAAGGTAATTCTTGATATATGTGACATTTTAGCTGCTTTGGTGATAGCCAAAGTGTGTGTTGTTTCCCCCTTCCCATGCTTGAAAACTTATGTATGTACACCAATAAAATACAATAAAAAGTCCTTGCCTTAACAACCATTCATTAGTGACAGTTTGAAATGGCACTGAAAAAAGTGACTTAGCACTATTTTTCACACTTAACAACCATTGCAGCATCCCCATGGTCACATGATCAAAATTCAGAAGACTGGCATGTATTTATGATGGTTGCAGTGTCCCCAGGTCATCTGATCACTTTTTGTGACCCTCTGACAAACTGAGTCAATGGGAAAGCCAGATTCAATTAACAACTGTTAAGTGTTACTAACTTAACAACTGCAGTGATTCACTTAACAACTGTGGCAAGAAAGGTTGTAAAATGGGGCAAAACTCAACAACTGTCTTGCTTAGTAATGGACATTTTGGGATCAATTGTGGTAGCAGGTTGTGGACTACTTGTACCATGTAGACATGTCTTCCCATAGACATAAACCCAATTGGATAGTCCAAATAATTCTGCCTCCATGTATCATCTCTGGGCAGTTGGAAAGGAGCTCTTCATGCAGCTTTTCCCAGTGTTGCATTATAGTATTGTGCAGAATTTCAATATAGTTTTACAACGGATATAAGTGAGACAGGGAGGGGAGTTATCACTGGCTGGAATATTTAGCCCAGATGTTATTATTTGGATGGGAGACTACTAGGATTTAAAATGAACCTGTAAAAAAATAGGTGGGGTTTTTTTTTTTTTTTTTTGCATCTGATACATTACATTAGGCCAGGGGTAGGCAACCTTGGCTCTTTTATGACTCGTGGACTTCAACTCCCAGAATTCCTGAGCCAGCCATGCTGAGGGGAAAGGGAGAGGTTTCCAAGCTGAGCCATGCTGGCTCAGGAATTCTGGGAGTTGAAGTCCACGAGTCATAAAAGAGCCAAGGTTGCCTACCCCTGCTTTAGGCTTACCACACAGCATGGCTATGTCTTTTACAACTGAAAAAAAAAAATCAAGATTTGGGCTTAGAATATACATAAGCAAAAGCTGGAAATGACTAGAAATGATGACTGGAATCTGAAGTTATTGCTTGCAATGGCTTGAGAGGTGGAATAAATAATTTATATCTTGTCCATTTACATGTCTTTACCATTTGGACTCAGGGGAGATGTTATGAACCCCCTGAGGTAGTTTGGCTTAGAATGCTATTTATTGAACCTATGTATGTTTAGAGTTGAGTATATATAGTTATGCTGTTTGCTACCTCTGTACTAAATAAGCATAGCTTTCACATATATTTTCCAGTCAAAATGTTGTCCCTTCTCATGGACGTGGGCATTGTTCAAACAGAAATTACTTTCCTTTGCACACATTGCTTATACTCTGTGTCTGTGGATCTTGGAAAGGCTCTTGAAAATGGTTAGTGTGCTTTGGTATACGTTTGCTAAGAGCTGTTAGAGGAAAACTTCACAAGACATATAG